ATCACAAATGAAGCAGGTGACCTACTTGAAGTTTGACAAACCCCTCATGGTACTTTGGTGGATTTACCTAATGGTAGAAGGCAAGAGGACATTGACACTAGCCCTGATATCAGAAAGTGTCCTTCAAATAGCGTTTTTATTCAGTTGCAATCATTCTGTATGGAAGTAGTGCATAGAATAGAGAGCAGATTCCAGAATAATCATTTTCCAACTAAATCACTAGAGATTCATTTGGGCACATTCAAAGATAGCAAATCATTACCAAAAGCATTTTAAAAAAATTAAAAATATGTCAGCTCACTGTGGTTGAGATGTACAACCAGTTATAAATCTACTAAAGAAAACAAACAGATCACCAATGTAATTTTAACTGTAAGTTACCTCAATTTGTACAAATCAAGCTTGTCTATCATGTTAACACAGGGATTACCAACCTTTTATAGCTAAAATTTTAAGAGCGTGTTAAAAATTATGTGATAACTGTACATAATGGCTGCAGTGGTGGATGTGGCCAGTCACAAAGCAGCTATTTACAGGAAGGCAAACTGGGAACATTGTTTCTCTATATAAAAAACAATATGTTTTAATATTTTATCTGTAAACCACCCAGACTGCCTCTGTGAGGGAGATGGACAGTTTCAAAATTTGATAAATAAATAAACCCAAATTTAATTTTATATCAGAGCATATGGACACATTTCCAAAATGTTGCAATTTTCTGTAATTTTTATTTCCTAAGAGTGTATTCTCGGTACATGCAGGATCCAGAAGCAGTGTTGGAAATAAAAATTATGCTTGACACTGGCAATCTGTTTTGTAAACTGCTGATTTCCAATTTAATTGAAAATAATAATTGAATAAATAGAGAAGAAGAGAAGAGAAGAGAAGAGAAGAGAAGAGAAGAGAAGAGAAGAGAAGAGAAGAGAAGAGAAGAGAACTATTTTTACCTCCAAAGCCAGGTCTCATGGCAAAATCATGGTTCTCTATATGGAGAAGTTGTTCTGATTTCATGGGTGGTACTTTAGTGCTATCTAGTTTCCTCGCCTTAAATTCTTGTTTGCTGGATTATAAACAAACAAATAAATAAATATACATACATATACTGTTCATATACATCCACCAGAAATTATTAAATCATTCTAATATCTTATATAAATAATAAGTCAACATTTACTGTCAGATAGCCAGAAGATTCTAACTATCCAAGCAAAATATGGAGATATAATCCAACCCTGATTTTGGTCCTAGCCATATATTAATGCTTGAACAAGCCCAACTCTGAGGGGGTCCAGCAGATGCTGTTTCCTTTTCCTTGATTACTTGCACAGATACAATAAAATAATGTAAGTAAATACAGGAATTCAGAAATGCAAGATTTCATGGCAATTACATTTTTGATAGCTTTGCCAATACTTGGCAGAAATGATTTTAAACATTCATTGTTATAGAGTTAGAGAGCCCTTGTCTGTATCAATAAGAACACTTTTTTCTAGTATATGTGGTAGGATTTATTTTTATCCTTTGCCTCTGTCAGTAGGTGCAGTATGGATTGCCATCCCATTACAAAATGAATACAAAGCCCCAAAGTATATTTGAATTACGGTTAGGAATAAAAATTATTGTATCCATTGGTCCCTGAGTCACAGAAAATGGTTCTTAAATGTCTCAGGAAAGGATTTTATTGCTTTCTGAGCAACTGTTTCCACAGCTCAAAAAAGATTCATCCCTTCCAGAATAATAGGGATACTCCTGCTGCTCTTAGCAGAAATATATAAAACCTATGAAATAAATATCTAAATCTGTTCTATTCTTTTTTACAAGCAACGTAAGAATAGCGAATTTAAAAGGATGAAGTATTAATCTGTTAGTTCTATTTCAATATTCATTTTGAAACATAGCCTCTTTCTTATGCCGGTAGATCAAGAATTTCTCCTTAAGGGAGAAATTTTTCTACCTAGCCCATTGTGACACCTGTTAGCCCCAGAGTGCAGGAACAAATGACACTATTCTTCTGCCACTCCTAACCCTCTGCAAATGCACTCCATGCCTATGTTTTCCAGCTTCAGCTTGAATTTTTTTCCCAATCTGAGCAATCTTAAGCTTTTCTAAATGGATGGTCTCCAGCAGTTCATTCAAATGTAACAACCCCAACTCTAATTGGCTGTAGTACCAGACAGGCCCTACTCCCCTTCAACAACTGTACCCTGTGCATCCATTTCATTCTTGACTGCTAGGGTGTGCTCCTCACACATGTTATAAACTTGCAGTTGATCCAGTCTTGCAACACTAAATCAATAAACTATACTCTTCCCCAGAAACATACAGGTAGTCCTCAATTTACGAAGGCAATTGATATCTTTGCTAAACAATGCAGTCATAAAGTGTGATTGCATCATTTGGTGATGGTAATCCCTGCAGTATCAGTTGCCATAATCAACCAATGATCATTAGGTGAGGCAACTTTCTACAGCTTCCCCCAACCATTTGGGAAGCTAGCAGGAACTTGTAAGTCCCAGGCAACTCACAAGCAGGCAAATAGGAAGGTAAATGGTTGCTACTGGGTGGATGATGCAAGGGGGTATGTGAGAGCATGAAAGAGACAGGGCAAGGATTTGGGAGGGTGTGCGAGGGTATTTGAGGCATGTGAGGGTGCAAGAGAAGTGTGGCAAGACTTATATACCACCCCATAATGCTTTACAACACTCTCTGGACAATTTAAAATGTCAGCCTATTGCCCCCAACAATCTGGATGTCATGGTTCCGATAGATGAGACCAGTAAAAGCAGAACTGCAAGGCTAGAAGTTTCCTTAAATAACATTTTTATTGGCTACAAAGTATCGGCACAGTCAAAAGTGAAACCAAGTCTGGAGTTCCCTCCAAAGTGTTACAATGTTACAAAGTTGAACTTCCCACCCCAGCACTGTGTAATCAACTATGTTCCCCAATAGAATACTTCAGCGGGCTTTCTAACAGAAGGCTCAGCCCGCCAAATTCCCAGGCAGCAATGACCTTGGTTCCCCTGGGACAAAATATTGTTTAGGCTAACATTAAAATCACCCATCCCTCCCCTCCCAGTCCTGTGGCAACCGAAAACGAAACAAAATGGTTTTGGCCAGGATTGTTTCAGTGTTGACACTGGGTTCTCATTTTACCAACCTCAGAAGGCTGGAAGGCTGAGTCAACCTGGAGCCCCATCAGGATTGAACTCCAGGCTATGCACAGAGTTTGCCTGTAATGCTGCATTCTAACCACTGCACCACCAGGGCTCCTAAGGTGCATAAAGGGTATGACGGAGGCATGATGAGGCTTGGAGAGAGTATGCAGGGGCACACAAGTAGTTGGCAGGGAGCTGAGGGAAGATGCATGGGTAGAGGAAACTTACAGTGCATTCAAAAAGTATTCAGACTCCCTTCACTTTCGACAATGTTGTTATGCTTCAGCTGAAAAAAATCTTGCAGTACTCTGGACAGGCATTAGGAAAGGAAGCATGTTTAGCAGATGGGGCAGAAAGTGAAGGGGAGGGGCCTAAAGAGTTGTAAGGATTAAATGGAATGTACTTGACAAAGTGGAAGTAGTCCTCGTCTTCTGACTATTCATTTAGTCACCATTCAAAGTTATGATGGCACTGAACAAGTAGTGGTTATGATTGGTCTTCAGAGTTGTGCTCATCCCTCACACTTATAATTGGTTGCAGTGCTCCATGCTCACCTGATTGCTAAACAGTCAGTAGGGAAGCTGGCAGGGAAGTTGTAAGTTGCTGAGATACAGTGCATTCAGAAAGTATTTAGAGCCCCTTCACTTTTGTCAATTTTGTTATGCTGCAGCCTGATTCTACAGTTGTTGAGATTCATTTTTTTCTCATTAATCTACACTCAATACCTCATGAGGACAAAGTGAAAATGGAATTTTAGAAATGTCTGTAAAATTTATTAAAAAGAAAAAAATTAAATACCACATTGGCATAAGTATTCAGACCCTTCACCCAGTACTTTGTTGAAGCATCTTTGGCAGCAATTACAGCCTCGAGTCTTTTTGAGTATGACACGACAAGCTTTGCACACCTGTATTGGAGGATTTTCTGCCATTCTTCCTTGCAAATCCTCTCAAGCTCAGTCAGGTTGGATGATAACCATCGGTGGATAGACATTTTCAGGTCCCTCCAGAGATGAGGATAAAGGTTTGTTCTCTGAGCTTGTGGTTTGGTTTCCAAAAGTTTCATTACCAGGCTAGGTAGCATCTTCAGTGGAGTTTAGGGGATGCTAGTGTCAGTGTACTTCTGTTTATAAGGGCTTCAGGTGTGGGTGTTTCGAGTGAGGGTCTTGTGATGGAACTTGTAATGGGTCAGGTGTGAGTCATCAGTGAGTCTTGTGATGACTCAATAGGGATCAAGTAAAGTTTTGGCTGGGCTACTCTAGGACATTCATAGATTTGTCCCTAAGACACTTCTGTGTTTGTCTTGGCTGTGTGCTTAGGATCGTGGTCATGTTGGAAAGTGAACCTTCGGCCCAATCCGAGGTCCTGAGCACTATGGAACAAGTTTTCATTGAGGATATCTCTGTACTTTGCTCCATTCAGCTTTCCCTCAACCCTGACCAGTCTTCCAGTCCTTGCTGCTGAAAAACACCCCCACAGCATGATGCTATCACCACAAGATTTACTGTTGGAATGATGTTGGGCATGTGATGAGCGGTGCCTGGTTTCCTCCAGATATAACGTTTAGAATTGAGGCCAAACAGTTCAATCTTGGTTTCAGCCGACCAGAGAATCTTGTTCCTCAAAGTTCCTCAAAGTCCTTCAGGTGCTTTTTTTGCAAACTCCAAGTGGGATTTCATGTGTTTTGCACTGAGGAGAGGCTTCCATCTAGCCCAGGGGTAGGCAACCTTGGCTCTTTTATGACAGCATGGCTGGCTCAGGAATTCTGGGAATTGAAGTCCACGAATCATAAAAGAGCCAAGGTTGCCTACCCCTGGTCTAGCCACTCTGCCATAAAGCCAAGATCAGTGGAGGGCTGCACTGATGGTTGTCCTTCTGGAACTCTGTCCCATTTCTACACAGGATCTCTGGAGCTCAGTCAGAGTGACCATCGGGTTAACAAAATTGACAAAAGTGGTCTGAATGCTTTCTGAATGCACTGTACCTCAGCAACTTGCAACTTCCCTACCAGCTTCCCTACTGACTTTTTGGCAATCAGGTGATCATGGAGCACTGCAACCAGTTGTAAGTGTGAGGGATGAGCACAACTCTGAGGACCAATCACAATCAATATCTGTTCAGTGCCATCATAACTTTGAATGGTGGCTAAATAAATAGTCAGAAGACGAAGACTACCTCCCCTTTGTCAAGTACATTTCATTTAATCCTTACAACTCTTTAGGCCCCCCCTTTCACTTTCTGCCCCATCTGCTAAACAATGCTTCTTTTCCTTTCCTAATGCCTGTCCGGAGTACTGCAAGATTTTTTTTCCTTTTTCCTTTTCCCTTTCCTTTTTAATTTGTAATATAAAAACATTGCTACTTTGTTTTTCTGAAGGTGAATTATCATTTCTTACTACAAATTTTCCTTTGGCTTACAGAGGACTGTAGGAACAGTAGGACCACCTGTTTCCTGCTGTTTTATTAGTGGAACTGCAATTTCTGAAGTTAGCTTAAGAAACAGCTGGAAGCTGCATGGGAAACAAACAGCTTAGGCTTGTGACAATTGTTAGTGAGGATTGCCTTAGACCCTGGAATTTTGGAACTTAAAATCCACATATTGTAAGATTGTGAAGGTTGAGAAACACTGCCTTAGAGGAACAAGGAAGCAGACCAGATGTCATCAACCACCACCACTGGAACAGCTGAATAAACAGATTCAGACAGAGTAACTGCACATTGACCATACAGTACACATATTTTATGCCAGTCTTCTTCATTTTTGTCATCTATTTGTCATTTCTGGTATAATTTTCTCATGTTCTCAATGTCACTGTATTTTTTAATGTTATTCATATCTCTTTGAATCACTGCAGTTATTTAAAACAGTGAAATCGTGTTTTGAAATCAAGGTTCCAAATTATGGTTGCATATATGGACTTGGTGGGAAACCTTTTACTAGAGCAAGGCAAAATGTCCAATAATCTTATATTAAAATTTAAAAAAAGATTGTAGAAAGTCAGATCTTTCTAAAGATCTCTCTGATCCTTTGTTTAAAAAATTCCCATTAAGAACATTCGGATCATCTAAACTGATATGGCTGTTTTCAGTTTATGGAATGGAGAATATACAACAAACAAGTAGTTAATAGTTTGTGAATTAGGTTGAATCACAGAAACTGGATTTCTGCTCCATTCTCCTCTTTTTAATGGAGGCTAAATCCATGGAACAAGATAGTTTGTATTTAGATAAAAGGAGACTACATTTATGTACATATGTTTGCCTTAAATGTAATTAATTCCCTTCATAATTGGCTTATATTTTCTTGAGAAAGCTGGTATGGTTACTCCCCTAAATAATATTGTTGTTGGCTTTATTTCAATATCCTAAAAAATCATTTTTCCATAGCATCACCTTTGAGCTGAGTTTGGTTCCTTGTTAATTCATAGAACTATCCATGTGGGGAGGGGTGTGGCAAGAGTGCAACATTGACTTACTATAACCCTCTTGTAGGGTGTGTTGGTGCATATTTCTTACTGTAGAGTACAGCACTAACAATTTTCTATCTTAAATATGTTTCAGGTCCAATCCCATTGCATTCCCAAGCCCAAATAAGGTCAGTCATATTGTCACCATTTCATGAGACTCTACTTATAGACTAGCTGGATAAATAGTAATTTCAACATAAAAATAACAGTGGCAGCATTAGCTCTCTGTGTCTTTTCTCTGATTTACCCATAGGCCACTAAGTGACCAACCCATTGGCCAGACTTCCATTTTCCATAACTAATATGGAGTCCTGGGTAGATTCTGGGAATCAAGGTGTCCACAGGTGTGGTAGGCAAAATGAAGATGGCAGTCATGATGTTCTGAGTTCTGCAATCTTATGGCTGTAACACATGCTTCAATTACAGTATCATGCTGCTATCTTGCCTTTTTTATGGCCACACTGCAAATATCTTTGCTTGAAATTTTAGTTATAATGTCCTGTTCCAGGTTTTGGAATCTGGCTGCAGAAGTAATTTCTTCTGCAGCCAGATTCCAAAACCTGGAACAGGAGACTATAAATCTTGGTCCAGTGTTTGATGAAAAATAACTCTGCTAATTTAAATGAAACCTAATTTCAAATCAGTGGCTAGTTCATTTTTTTCCCCTTACTATAGAACTGCAAATAAAATGTAGTGACAAAATGCTAACTATGATTTCTGCATTTTTGTCAGAATAAGAAAATATATAAAAGGTCCTATTTTTACTTTAAAAACATACCAAAATGAGGGAACAGACTCCCTAAATAATCCAGTCCTGTGCCTTGTGAAATCAGTGCATCTGTGTTGTGTTCCTTTTGGCACTTGACCAGTGAAAAAACTTAAGATTTAGAAATCTCTATTACAAGAAAATGCTCCCTTTCAAACATCTTTCCACCACCACCCTTTAAGCCAGTGGTTCTCAACCTGTGGGTCGGGACCCCATTTGGGGTCGATCGACCATTTCATGGGGGTCGCCAAGCAAGGCTGTCCGCCATTTTTTTTGTCCGCCATTTTTTTGTCCGCCATTTTCCCCCCCCTTTTCCGGTGGGTGCCTTATCTCCCTTGGGCTGGGCCAGCTGATGGTCGGCCTGCTCCGTCTCTGCCGCTTGCCAGCTACGCCTCGGCCAGCGCAGGGGGCGGAACCACGCATGCACGGCGCTCCCGGGCAGGGAAAGCCCTCGACTTACGACCGGTTGGGTAGTCCTCGACTTACAACCGGTTTAGTCCTCGACTTACGACCGGTTTAGTCCTCGACTTATGACCGGTTGGGGGTCGCGGCATTAAAAAGGTTGAGAACCACTGCTTTAAGCAGTGGTAATGGAAAATAAATCTTGTTGGTCAGGTTTGTCATCTGAACAGAACCAGTTGAGAAAGATTCTATATAGAACTAAAGTTGGTTTGAAATATCCTTTCTAACAAGGACTAGCCATTTACCATTCCTCACTGTGATATAAATGCAAGAAAGTGAGCAAATGCTCCTCAATTTCAACTGCTCTGAGCTAATCTAGTTTCAGTGAAAGTGAATGCTTGTATTTTCAAATAATAATTGTACAGTACTTCAGGAAATCAAGTCTCCCTTTGCAACATAATAAGCAATCATTGGCATCTCAGACAATTACTTGGACTGCTTTTAAACTTATTGACCGAGATCACACGTCATATTTAAACTTCATGTGTGCATGAAATTGTGGTAGTTTGTAAACCATAGCTTATGGTTTAACATGAGGAAACCCAAACATGCCTTTATCAGCAAACTATCATTAAAATAGAAACAAAACTTGACTTAGTGCAATGAAAAATTGGAAACACCTTTCAGATTCATTTCAGATCAATCTCAGCAGTTGTGACAAATGATTCAGACAAATGTAATGAACACAGCTGTTCTTAAGTGATCCAGTTACCTACAGGTATACCAAAGCATGTAAGACATGTGCCTTTATCTTTTTTGCTAAAGTGCTACGGGTAACAATATCTCATCTCTATTCTCCAATCCCTCACACTGAGCACATCAGAAGCTATGTAGGAAGTAGCCTTATACAACATTAAACTATGTGTCCACCCAGTCAAATTTCTGTTTGGCTCTGCATTCAAAGAAGAGTCTTTCCAATTCCACACTGGGCTTTTGAAGTGCAAAGCTTCATAGTAATTTGCATGACTTTTGTTCTCCCATCTGTAATTTTTGATGGATGAGCTGGAGAATTAGAGACGGGTAATCTGTATATAGAAGCCTAAATCTCACACTAACTCTGTTCTCTGAGTCGTGGCTCAAAGTAGCAATGCTTGAGATTTTAATACCCCCTCTCCCTACCATATTTTGGTAGGGCCAATAATGTAAAACTTCCAATTGATAAAATGAGTCTTAAAATACAGCATTAAACTTCTTTAACTTCATGAACTCAAATAGAAATTGAATAGCTAGCTAAAAAAGCTTCTCTTTATATATGGTAATTAAATAATTCCACCAAATTAAAGCCAATGTATCTGTATAATACAAACCTTCAATTATATGAGTTTAAAAGAACATCAGTTATGATGCCTGCTGGCCATCTTGCTCACCTGTTATGTCTTTTCATGAATGACCTTTGAGGATGATGGTGACTATAGCAATGATGATGATGATGATCGCTGTTATTGGGCAAAACAGAAGTAGGCCAAATACAGGTAAAGAGCAGCAGTTTTAATGCAGGGATCATGTCTTCCAATCCACAAAAATCAAATCAATTTCTATCAATCATCTTTCATTCCAGCGGTCCACTTATTAAGAAATAATCTCATGCGATGAAGTGGGTGTAGATAATATGAGGCATCACAAATTCAAAGAAAAAAAAACATTTCACTTTTCATTATCTGAAGTTTCTTCTTATTTCTGCAGTTTTATAAGTCTTCGGCATTCACATCCTGTGGTTGATCTCTCCTACTGTTGCAATTTTACTTTTAGAAATATATTAAATAATATTGTGCATATTGTTTACTCTCTTTTTCATCCATTATTTCTCTCTCTGTGGGAGCATTTCTAGCCCAAAGCCTTAATGCTCACTCAGTATACTGTTTGATAAAGCATTGACACAGACAAAAGAATGATGTCATATTTAATCTCCTTAATCCTCCATATTACTGGGGTTTTTTAATAAGAAAAACTTTCATTTCCCCATGAAAATCTGTGTTTAATAAACAAAGGTCAAGCAAATAAAGTTACTACATATGCAGAAAATAATTCAGAGCATTGGGCTTATTTATGTATTAGGTGTATGAAAAGTAAACATTAAGAAACTATTTTGTAGATATTTAATGAAAACCTATTATCACAGTATCTTGTTTATTGACAAAAATGGAAGCAAGTTAAAGCATAATATACCCATGGTATTAATTGATCAGAGCACTTAGATTCTTACATAAAATACTATCCACTTGAAAAGGTATTGAAACAAGTTTCAATATGTGCATTTCCGAATAAGTTTGGCCTTTTCCACATTTGTACCTAAGCATGGCACAACCAGATTCTAATAACATTTTTTTCTGCTCTAACCCTAGTAAGTTGCCTTCATCTTTTCCCCAATCCGTAATGGAGACAAGCTTAAGTTGTTCTTTGCTGTACTGGTGCTAAAATAAAATGGCCTCCAGATTGTTTAGATTTTAGCCCTCATAATTGTCAAGCATTGTATTTCCAAAATTGGTTCACAATTCAGCAATTTCTGCCCATCTAGCCAGAAGAGATCCTGTGCAGTACTCCGTCGGTCCAATAAATTCAGCCTTTTTTCATTGTTTTCTGGTTGGGCAAGCTAAGAGAAAATGTGGGATAATAGTTGCAATGCCTGTCTTCTAGAACAGGGGTCCCCAACTCCAGGATGGCAGGCCTGTTGGGCAGTGGGCCATGAAAGCAGCAGGCAAGCACCCAAAGCTTCTTTGTGCATGCACGGGATCTAGGTTGCACACATGAAACCATCCCCTTCCCCCATCCCTGCTGCTGGTCCATGGAACCAGAAAGGTTAGTGACTGCTATTCTAGATCAGTGGTTCTCAACCTTTTTAATGCCGCGACCCCAACCGGCCGTAAGTCGAGGACTAAACCGGTCGTAAGTCAAGGACTAAACTGGTCGTAAGTCGAGGACTAAACCGGTCATAAGTCGAGGACTACCCAACCGGTCGTAAGTCGAGGACTTTCCCTGCCTGGAAGCGCCGCACATGCGTGGTTCCGCCCTGTGCGCCGGCCGAGGCGTAGCTGGCAAGCGGCAGAGACGGAGCAGGCCGACCACCAGCTGGCCCAGCCCAAAGGAGGTAAGGCACCCGCCGGAAAAGGAGAAAAAATGGCGGACAAAAAAAATGTCGGACAAAAAAAATGGCGGACAAAAAAAATGGCGGACAGCCTTGCTTGGCGACCCCCCTGAAATGGTCGATCGACCCCAAATGGGGTCCCGACCCACAGGTTGAGAACCACTGTTCTAGATGATTACATTTTTCGGATGATACAAAATCAATACAAATACAAAAAAAGCCCCTACGTTCTCATCAATGTATGTGTGTCCACAATTGTCTCTCATTTGGGGAAATCCCTCTAAGCACTTAATTGTGATAAAACTTTGTTTACCATCAGGTTGCTAGAATAGGGGCAGAACGTGTCAAAAATAGGTCAATATTAACTGAAGCTAAATAGATAACTGTCTCGATCCTAGACTGCAGTGATCAAACCAGACTGTAATTATATTGAATTCTGCACTGTGATTTAACTTTCTTACCATTTTAATTTAGCCCATCAGAATCATAAGTTTCATTGTCATATATATGTGTGTGTGTGTGTGTGTGTGTGTGTGTAAAGATTACAAGTATTTATTTCAAACACTGCAAGTTAAGATGTTCATTTGTACGGAAAGGTGCTAGATATTTTTTGGAGTAATTCTAACCATCAAAATAGCTGTACGCCAAATTAAATTTGAAGAGGTTGTTACTTTGGTCCAGATGTTACTGCCAGATTGCTGCAGCATTATAATTTGAAATTGCTCATCAGATCTCACCAATGCAAATAGGATGGTTATAAGAACAGAAGAACCAAGAACAGAAAGTCATCTAAGAGTGCTAGCTTTATCCATGCTCTCATCTCTTGTTCCCCTATTTGTCATATGCTTCATGTCTATTTCAGGGCTTTTCAACCTTTTCACCCATTGTACCACTTTTAGGATATGGCAACATCTGAGTACCACCAGTTGCCTAGCAAGGTGTCAAAAACTTTATGACCAAAAAAAAAAAGGAAAAAAGTTTAAAGTACAGGTAGTCCTTGACTTACAACAGTTTGCTTAGTGACTGTTCGAAGTTACAATGGCACTGAAAAAAGTGCCCCCCAAGCCACAGCCGAGCAAGACACCTGCCTGCCCGGCCGCGTTCTTCCTTCTGTTCGAGGTTTTCATTGTTGTGAGCATTTCTGTTGAGGTTTGGCAGCAGGGGTGGGGTGGGGGTGTTTGTTTTAATTCTCCCCGTCTGCTGGGTGGTTGCAGCAGGTTTCGGTCACTTCACATAACCCTGGGACACTGTGATCGTCATAAATATGAATCAGTTGCCAAGCATCTGAATGTAAATCACAAGACCCTGGAGATGCTGCAACATTCCAGCTGATTGGTACTTCTTCAGGGCTTAGCAGAAGCACCAGGATCAGCACCGAGCTCCAGCTAGAGCCTGGCGCTGATCCTGGCGCTTCCGCTGAGCCTGGATACCCCTGCAGCTCCAGCCATCTCTCGCTCAGGCTTGTACAGTGCTGCCACTGGTTCAACTCATTCCCCTCCCCTGCTATCACTTTTCTAGGATGGTCGCGTACCACCTGCTAGGTGCCAATGTACCACAGGTGATACCGGCACCACTGGTTGAAAAGCCCTGGTCTATGTCATCTGTTCAAGGTAGTCCAGACTAGGAACCAATGCCATATAGGTCAGTAATTTTATTGTAAAGCTTTAGTAACTGAAACCCGTATGTCTAAATGCACTTGTCTCCTTCCTCCCTTTATCTTCCTGTGAGCTAGGTGGGGGCTTGTCTGAGATATTTACTTTCTCCGTCAGGGATCAGGTCTCTTTTATCTGACCATTGCCTTGATAGTGGCTCCTCTTCATGTCCTTCAAGGCCATTCTCACTTCCCTCTACAGAATATGAATTCTTTCTCACTGGCTAAACACCAGTCCTTTGGAACATCATCCCAGAGATTAGATTAGCCCTGATACTGCTGGCCTTTTGCAATGCCTTGAAGATATGTTTTTTGTTAATGGGCTTGGGGATCCAGAGATGTGACAGAGCCTGCACAATTTTAATGTTGTTGTTGCTGATCCTATGCAATGTTTTTTTTAAATCATAGCTGCTGATTGTGCATATGTTGTTTACATAGTTATGTGCTTAATTATGTTTATAACTGTTGATAAACATTCAGTCATGAATTTGAGATCTATTTGAGAATAAATTTGAGATTTATTTCAGTTATCTAAACTGAAATAAACATTCTGCAGAAATTACATATTATTTTGAAAAATAACCCCAATGATTTTAGCAGATTTGATTTTCAAAGCCCAGTATTCAGATATAAAATATTGCAAGAGTACAGAATGATTTCAGTACAAAATTTGGTGGGAAGAAACAATAGACTAAAATAGTAATTCCCAATCTTTTCCTTTATGGATCCATGCACTATCATCTATGGCTTTTAATAAATACAGCATAGAACATGACAACAGGCCCTACACCTCTGAGGTTGATATTAGTTGGTGCTACAAAATTAAATTTAAAAAAACAATAATGAACTGTGAACTGTCACAAGAATATGATACTCCCATCTGTAACCTTGCAAAAATTTGGCAAAAATACATTTGTCTTTTGTGATTTCCAGCAAGAATATCCTGTTATGAAATCTAATACTCTCATAAGGTTTAGCTATTTAAAAAAAATATTTTCCCTTTGTCATTACCAAAGGGATTATTTGCAACGGACTGTGGATCACTCTGGGTAGGAAGCACTCATCTAAAGACCACCTGGCATCCTTTTATTATTTTGTTTACAATAATATTAGTGAAGCTTAAGTTTGCTAACACAGACTTTCATTGTAAGCCTATGTGATTGTATCTACACAAAGAATGTCCTTGTAATTACTCCTCCAGCAGCCCTCTATGCTATACTTTGACAGGACATGTATTAAAATTGGAACAGAAAGAAGATTAGCATGCCAATGCACACAGATGGCATGCAAATTTATGAATTGTTCCATATTACTTTCAATGTTAAGTTTATTTTAACTTTTACTTTGGACATATTGTTGTATTTTATAACTGTTGTAAAATGCAAGAGTCATGTTGCAATGTATATGTTCTTATGTATGTGTGTACACAAACACACACATACACACATATATAACAAACTGCTTTTACAAGGAATATTAGCATGATTTTATAAATACCTTAATATAAAATTAATTATTTCATTCCATAAAATTATTTCATTCCATTAATTCCAACACTGAGCAAAACAAATGAAATTCTCATGTTTTCTTTTTAAAAGATTAATCTTTTAAAGATTAACCACAGAAGATCACTTGGGAACAGAAGGAAGAATGAAATCACTCTAATAGTAAGAATGTAATGTATTCTAACAGGTTGGCTGGTTTGCTATGTACAGTCACAGTGAAAAGACAAACACAAATGTAAAACAACCACATCTTTTAATAGAAAGCAATAAACATGCAAATAGCAGGTATAGAAATTTATTTGAACCAATGTTTTTACTATTAGGTAAGTTATTTTAACATTGATCCAAGCTCCCATATTTGCAAGTTAAGGGAAAATATTGCACTTTGCATTGTCTAGCACTCCTCATACATTGCAAAACATTTTAAAAACATTTTGCTTTTTTAACTTGCACACTCTCACAAGTCATGCACACACATTCAAAAATCAGAATGTTAGATCACCCAAAGCAAAACCTTAAAATTGCACTAAAGCTTTGTAAGGAAAAATATAATTCACGAGTTATACAAATTTCATGACATTTTGTTGTTTCCAGAAAATAGCCAATTATTCTTCATCTTCATTTTCATTTTCTTGGCCAGACCCTTCAGACCTGTCACCTTCCAGCCGGTCTATGAGATATAAAAGCAATATTTTAAAGACAAAAGCATTCTTAGTCTTTCAGCATTCTTACATTTTTAAATAGAATATAACATATATTTGTTCTATAAATATTTCTACAAATATTAGAAAGAAAATGCGAGAATAAAAACACGCAAAGCTTTCCTAATTTAAATTAGTGCCTTAATAGAATTCTGTTAAATGGTTGTGTCCTCCAGAAGTTGTGAATGCTCCAACACTGAACGTTTTTAAGAGACTGGACAGTCATTTGTCTGAAATGGTATAGGGCAGTGGTGGCGAACCTATGCCACGGGTGCCAGAGGCGGCACTCAGAGCCCTCTCTGTGGGCACGCACGCCGTCGCCCCAGTCCTAGGCCTTCAGCTGGTTTTTATAAAACCTTTTCACTTTAGGCCTCCGCTGCCGTGTACAAAACAAAAAAGGTTCAATCAATCAGTCAATTTCAACTTCTCGCGGGGGAAAAAAAGATCTTGCAAAATTGGAATTGATTGATTGAACATTTTAGTCCCACCCAGGCTGCTGTTACCACCACAGCCACGCCTACCCAATGGGCCACACCCACCCGGCACCCAACGATGCATAAGTGGGTTTTGGGTTGCAGTTTGGGCACTCGGTCTCTAAAAGGTTCACCATCACTGGTATAGGGTTTCCTGCCTGAGCAGGGGATTGGACTAGATGACCTCCAAGGTCTCTTCCAACTTTATCATCATCATCATCATTAT